GGCTCTTCCCAGTCGTCAATCCAATCCATGGCCGTTTGCCCACTAGCAATTCTATGCCTAGGAAAGGAGCTCACCTGGGTCTTCCAGGATCACTGCTCCGCTACCACTGAAAGAGTGACTAGGGCGTACACGGTAGAGGTGCAGACCGCTAGTGTCTTTTATGCGCAGAGTCTTATCCTCTTGCTCTTTAGGTCCATTGACCCTCTCTTGAGCCTTGTAGCAGTCAAGCATGGACACACTATATCAGCTGTTGGAGTGGAACCCTGTACAGGAGGCTCTACCTTTCAGTGGGCCCCCCCCCTCGGCTGACCCCTCCTTTTAATTGAAAGAATCAATTAGTTCACTGAACCTTTTAATTTTGAGCCTCACTATATTTCGTAAACAACAACTTCCGCTGAGCTCCTTCTGAGCTGGCTTTCGTGATTGAAGGAAAATTCACCCGTCGCAGGTGGAGTTGATCCACTAGGGGTGGAGGGGGGGCCCCTCCCCCCCTCCTATCATATAGAATCGCCTTTAACGAGCCCAGTCATGGCGTGTGGGAGGATCCTGCCCTGTAGCTAAAGCTAATTGAACTCAGGTGATGACCGGTGGGAGCCCGGATGCTTTTGGTGGAAATTGGTGTCACACCTTTGAAGCCACATTCCATCCAGAACAAAGTTTATGGACCCGCCAAGTCGTCCGCTTCTGCAAGTCCATCCTAAACAGAAAGCCCGGACGGCCCCAAACGAGGCAACGCCGGCGGCCACCAGTCCAAGCTGCGTACATGATGATGAGCAAGACATGTTCCCCTGCGCCCAGGAGAAAGAGCCGCTCCTCCGTCGTGGCCTGCGGTAAGATGAGCTCGATGCTGGTCCCCCGGGTGCAGTTTTGGCCTCAACAAACGGCCCGGCCCAGCCTAAAGGATGTCCAACAAAACTGCTCAACAGAGGCCTCCAAGACACAAACTTGTCAGTGATCGGAATGTCATGAGTCATGAACAATGATACTGAAGTGACAATGCTCCACAGGCCCAGTGGCAAGCATCACCAGCATACTGGGGGAAATAGAGCAGCAAGCCGCTAACAACGAGCCCCAGCCCTGGCCGACGCGGTCTCCGAACCCCTTCCAAATCCATATGCTAGCGAATCATCCAGTTACGAAGGGCGCCAGCCGCAGATGCTAAAGGGTGGCGCAAGCTGAGATTGATCGAACCAGGCTAAACAAAGATGATAGCTCTGCAGATCTTGCCTGTGACGATCACGAAGGCATTAAAGGCCCTTCCCATGCCCACAACCATGCGAGGCCTTGTGTGGCCATCCAAGCTGCAACTGAAAAAGGGTTGTAGGGCTCTAAACAGGCTACTGGCTATGCTATGACTGTGTCAAGAAGTTAAAGGTCATAGTTGAAGAACGTACACCTTGAAATGACAATACAGACCCCGGACCAGCATTGTATGTCTGATATCCATACTAGGGAGCTGCGCCATGCACCTGCGCACCAAAAGCGGTCATCTGACGCCCTGTGATTCTGGGGTCAGCAGCGAGGCAAGAATGAACTTTTGAGATGGGTTCGGGCTAATATCGAACTCCACGGTGAGTTCATGGCACAACCTAGAGCGGTCTAAATGGAGATCGACAAAAGCATACCTTTATTGGGGTTGATGATGTACAGCATCTCCACCAAAGGAAAATGGTTCCCCTCCAAGCAGTTTCGAGGCGTCTTTCGTCCGAGGGGCTCTGGTGACTGCATAAGCTTCACCTGAAGCACGGGCAAAACCAGTTGCACTCCTTGGGGATAGGACAGCAGCTATTGGCCACTCAACTGGAGATGAACATCCACGAAAATGAGACCACGCAAAATTAAAATAGATCGATTCAAGATAGGTTCAAGGATACAATCAGCTTACTCTCCAAAACGTCTTGGGATGGTGAAACCATGCATCGACATTCTTGGGACCTCAAACCCACAAATCGCACATGACGCCGGCTGAAGAGCCAGCAATTTTGACGAGTCTGGAGAAAGGAGGAAACATCAAGAGACAAAAGAACTCACATTGGCCACACACTTGGGCAGAGGAACCCTCACACAGAAGTTGTGCAGGGAGGGTTACCTGAATGAGGATGCACTCACTGATCAGTGAAAGCCAGGAGGCCAGCTTATAAGCATCCAAGCGCTTCTCGATGTGTACCTCGAGTGGCGCTCGATGTACACCGGACATGGAGCTTCTGTAGCAGTGACATAGCTTATATAAGTCGACAGTAGGTGGTGAACATCTAGACTCTAGACCTTCCTTTTCGCATCTGCATGACAAAAAATAGCAATTGCACAATGAGGTCCCAATCTGTATGAGGTATTTCTTCTCTAGCATGTTGAGCAGCCATTCTACCGGCTTCTCTTACAGCTAGTGCATCCACTATTCCCAAAACCTGTTGAATTCGCAAACAATTTGTCTGATAATTCATGCAATGCTTGTTTCCTCACTGTTTTTCATGAAATCCTCCGCCTCCCCCGTTTAAACGGCCGCTGTTGTTTTCCAGTCAACTCAGCCCCTTTAGGAACAACATGGAACAACAGTGCTCCCAAGCGTTCGAATTTAGACCAAAAACGGTGGCGTGAAATGAACTTCTGCACCTGACTGGTCTCGGATCTGGAGGAAGCTCTGGAGGCCGAGAGAAGGAGGAGGGAGCTCTGGAGGGAAGGAAGCAGCTATGCAGTCGGGGCACGTTGATCAAGGCCAGCAGAGGCGCCAAGGGAAAGGCCACAGTGAACATCATGATCAAGCCATACCTACCGCTCAAAGGATGCCAGTTGGGTGGAACAGTCACTTTCTGGAACTCTAGCGACTCTAGCGGTTGGTTCAGGGAATTGCGGGGGAGCCCGGTTCCTTCACTTCACTTTGCAGTCAGGTCACGGCGTCTTCCGCCGACGCATCGACGACGGCGACCGTGTCACGGAGTCGACCCCTCGGCCATCGGGTCGTACTGGCCGAAGAGATCCGCAAGGGTGCCGACCCCCGAGGCTGAAGAATGGACGTCTGCCCCGTCTGCCACGAAAGATTTGGGGCAACCCTTCAAAATTCGCCACTCAGGTCACGTCCTGACTTCGCAACCCAGCTCACGGGGGCTACCGCGGGGCACTGGATCACCAGCTCAATGGCCTCGTCCACCAACTCGAATGCATAGTCGCGTGTGATCTCGTCCGTCACGTGGTCCTGGCAGACGGCGGATTGCTGGGGCCATTGGATGGACTGAAAAGGTCTGCACATGCAGAACGAAGACACAAAGGAAACCGGGGAACTCAACGATATAAATCGAGCGGGGCATTTCTTTCCAGCCGTGTCTCGCTCACTCTTCCGGCCTGAAGAACTCAAGCCCGCGGATTCACTGACTACATGTCTCAGATTCTCCCATTCTCCCATCCCTTCCCCGGTGGGAACCGCCCCAAAAAAGAGGCTACACCCCGTCCAGCGCGGTCTTGATGGGATCCACCAAGCTGATCTTCGTCTCCTCCTCGAGGGGATCGCCCACCAACATGTAGCGCAACGTCCTGAATCAGCAACCACCAGCGACCGGCCGCGGACACGGTGCAGTGGCGGTCGCGGAGCATTCGATGTGTCTGGGCGACGAGCACCAAATCCCCCCTGGCGTGTGAGGGCAAAGCACAATAGGTCGAGGTACTTGGATCAAGGCAAGTATATATGGAGCTCATACCGGACACATGACCTACATCCCATCCTGGAACCAAACCCACAAATCCTTCTAGCCAAGTGACTGCCGCAGGCCCTGGCCGATGGAGCCCCGATGGTTCATCTTCTGAAACTGCTTCACGAAGTGGGACCAAAAGAACTCCAGCCTCGGAATTTGGTTTTCAGCTTTCGGTCTTCGCTTCCCCCTGGACCCTGTGCTTCCTCAGATCTCGATGACTGTGAGGGTTGCAACTCTTCAATTGGCAAAGAGGGTGAGAACGCATTCCGGGAGCCATGGCTATCCAAGTACAGTATAGGTGAATGTGGGGGTAGGCGAAGGGATGCTCAGGTAGGTCCGGTCCAAATCAGCCTCCATCTGAAGAAATCCCAGTCCAATAGGTTCATGTCATTCAGAGGTAGGGCTCCACCGAATGTGTTGGATTGACTCTCATGGAGAAGGGCTCCAAAGGCCATCACGTAAACTCCACTAATTAGACCTAGTCAGTTCAGAAGACACACGCGCGCTTTTTGACGGCGAAGTTTGCGTTTATTTATACATTCCAAACCGCGGGGTCAACGAAATTGGTCTCCAAAACCATGAACGTTTATCGTGCTTCATTCGATCATCGTTAGCTATGAGACCTTTAGCTTTGAAGTGTAAATATCCACGAACCTTGCTCAGGCCACCCACCTTCTCCAAGCTGCAGATTGTTCATGAAGATGGAGCTCAAACAAAGGAACAGCACCTGCACGCGAAGCTGCTCCATGTTCCTCTCGGCAAAGGCAATCCAAAGCAAGCTGTTGTAGGTGTTGAAGAGATTGAAGACGAAGAGGCGGTCCTGTGGCTTCCCTCTCGGACCAGCACTACTCTCAGGAATCTGAGGGTCGCCCTGGATGTTCTCTACCTGGTATGTTTCTTGCCCTGTGGCCTACACGGCGGAGACCGCATGTCTCGCGGCAACAAGGAAACAAGGTACCCATAAGAACCAACCTTCCGACAACCAACGTGCTGCCACCCCAGTGAGGTTTCGCAGGAACACCTCACTCGCCTGAAAGGGACGAAGCCCGCGCTTTGCATTGCTCAAAACCATGTCCTTCATACAAAAGCCCCAGTGTGGCCTTTCGAAGGCCCCATCTGCGGTGTCTATGACACATCGAAAACCCTGCTAGCTGCTAGCTGCTAGCGAGGATGTACACTCCCAAACTTGGAGGTGAATGGCCTGGTCCCCTTGGCAGTTCGGCGACGTCCTGGAGTGATACGTCATAATTGAATACTGCATATATATATATATAGATGTATTGTCAATGCAATGTGATCTATAAATATATATGTAATAACATGTAATAACTAAATATATATATATATATACATTGTCAACGTTGACTGCCTGAATCCTCCACTCCGCCTTTGTAAGGGAGGCCAGTGAATTCAAGGTCCAAGGATCAAACAAATCCTTCTCCCGTTCTCTGTCTTCTCTGAAGAGCTGGTAGTTGTTGGTCTTGACAACCACCTGCGGCCAACAATGGGACCAGCTTTCAGCACGGCAGAGCTTGAGAGAAGAACTGCATCCGAAGACTACTTGCAGTTCAATTGGCAGACGTCTCAACATATCCATCTTCATCCCTATTGTCACTCTTCCGTCCGCCCTCGCGAACTCCGCGAGCCCCAAACAGCTATGGCCAAGCCGTGATTCTGCCTAGAAGTGATTGAATGTCTCGCACCTCAACCAACCATTCCTTCTGCGAACGGATGGAAAGGTGTGCCCTGGCCCCGTTCTAGCTCTTAGGTCAACATGAAGCTCGCGCGCTAAAGCTCCTTTTTACCTGGTTGGGCACTTGAGCCAAAAGTATATGGCATGTACCTGTATAGCGGCTATACTGGGACCCCATCCCTATTGACACCCCCCACATCCGTACTTCGACGGGGAAGGGAGATGAGTGGATGTAAAAACCGGAGAACGAATCCCGTTCTCAAAAGAGTATTGGAGGTCAACCAGTATGTCCTATTGAATTGCGTTAGCGAAAGATCTTGCATTCGCTTGAAAGTTGGATCAAACAGGCAATGGAGCTACAAACGGAAAACGTGCACCTACCTATGGTATCATGCGATTACCAACGGTGTGAAACACAATCCTATCTCACTCCCATGATGCCAAAACGGTCATCATGAATTACCCAAGATCCCTCAGTACTTGAAGTACCGGAAGTGGCATGTCGGCACGACCCCAATGCTCATCCATTCGTGAGTTGTCGCATGTAGTCAGCGCCGACAAAGCCAATGTAGTCCTTGATGAGCTCAACGTTCCTTGGATTTCCCGCTCGGATCTGCTCCTCGAAGGACTTCAATTTCTGTGCTTGGATAGTGGATACCTCTATGCCATAGTAGCGGCATGCAACGAGGATCTCCTTCGTGACATTCTTCCTCTCCGATTTGATGGCGGGACTAATGTCGATGAATTTGTATGGAGCGGCACTTTCGTCATCTGGTTTCTGGTAGTAACTATACCGGCTCGCTCCGAAGGTCTTCCTGATCAAGCGTCTGATGAAATTTGAGATGAATGCTAGTTTCTCGATGATCTCATCCTGGGTCTCGGACTTTCGAGCCTTTGGATCACTCATGTTACGTCGAGTGCTGCCGACCTCTTTGAGGTACTTGTGGCTAAGCCCGCAGCGGATTGCAGTGATCATCATCGGGTGAACAACGTGGGCGTGGAATTCATAGATCTGCCACGCTTCTGCTGCATACGCGTCGTCGGTCCATCTGCTCATGCCTACGACCTCGGCTCTCTGGAGACGTCTTGGAAACCCAGTATCCGGATCATTCGGTACTATCGGCCATCTATTGTGCGGAGTGTCATGCCGCTGTCCATCGTCGAACATTCGCAGTACATCTTCACGACTCTCAAAGCAGTTGATGTCGAACGTTGCGTTGGCCAAGCTCTTGATCAACTTCATCAACCTCAGATCAAATTGCTGTGTGACGGCAAAGTTGTGGTCGATGGGGATCGCAGCTTCTTGCGGCAATTCGTCAATTGCGAAGGGGAAAGGCTGCGGAAGTTCATTCCCGTATCCATCTTGAGGGACCTCCCGATATTCGGGTTCGCCTTCAGCTTCGTCCGGTCGTTCCTTCAAAATGATAGGAACTTCCTCCTCTTCCTCTCCTTCGGATTCCTCGATCTCAATGACCTCTTCGGCTGTCTTGCGTGCGTTCTTGATGACTTCGTCGATGTTTGCACCTGCAGCAGAAGTCGTTTCACCGGAAGAACTGGCTGGGATATCTTTCGGAGGTGACCGTTGATTGCGGTCCCTTGTCTCCTTGGGTACCACATGCGTGAGCTTCCCATTCGCGATCAAAACCGCTACGCAGTGCGGACATATCGTCAATCGCACATCGACTTCGCCAAGACAGTTAGGACACGGTCTTGAGTCATAGTCTTTCATTGCTCGGCGGTACGCGATCTCCTCAAAGATTTCCTGCCACTCGGTGCTATCATATTCTGGGTAGACACCACTCTCCTCGATCATACCCAACATCTTTGAGATTTTGGCGTCGTCCTCGGAGTAGGTATCGTCCTGAACCTCAACCGCTAAACTCTCAAGCTTTTGAAAGCGTGGAATCATGATCGGGTTTCCGTATTTGGACTCCAGAACAAGGTAGCTTCCAGGGTCGGGTTCCCCATTGAGTAACCGGATCCATTCGATCTCCTCAGGCTGTCCGGGTTCCGCATTGTCGCATTGCAACCATGCCCCTTTAACCTCATCGAAGTGAACGACGTTCTCAACCAATAGAGAGCCAGTCGCTGAGATGAGAAGTCCGTACTCCTGCAGCTTCCACACCGGAATGTAGAGAACCACCGGACGATCACTCAATGCGACCTTACGACCCAGCCAAGGTTTTCCCTTGTAGCCCTGCTCCCAGGCCCATGGCGGAAAGCATGTGAAGTGGATAGAATCCCTTCCCGATGAACCGAGACCTCCTGGCACTAGCCCTCGTCGCATGATTGAAGTCAGCGCTCCGAGATTGGTAGCGTGAAATGCAGTCACCATAGATAGGGCCATGTCGTTGGTCATCCTCGACCCAATGTGGTCGATGTTAATGGTAACGTCATAACCTCCGCCGTCCGTTGAGTGTGCCGAGGTTGCTCTTACGGCCACGGGAAAGCACCATCCATCGCTATGGTGGAGTCTTCCTTTAGAGATTCCCATGTCCTTGAGTTCGTTAATCCATTCCTTCTCCATCGGGTCATCAGGCTCATTGAGTTCATCAGGGTGAACGCGGACCGCCAACATTTGGAATCTGACCCTCTTGGTTATGCGGAAACACTCGTAGTTCTGGTCGAAGTACTTCTCCAAACGCGCCTTCTTGGTCACGATATCTATGTTGCCATAGTGATAACCGTCTTCCCAAACTGCATTATCACCTAACAAGTCTTCCCATGACACCCATGCGCCTTCATCGCATTTGATTGGTGTGAGTCTTCCTCCTGTCCTGAACTGGCGTCCAATTCGATGTCTCAACTTCGCTCCCAACCGACGACTCAGGGCCTGGCTCGCTTGGCTGTATTCAGGTACTCGACAGTCTGTAGTCGGATACTTGTGGTTGCCGTAGTCGGAGTTCTTTGCAGCGAAAGTGACTCCGTTGATCGGTACTAGCTCAACCTTCCCGACCATCGTCATGGGTTCGATCGGCTTGTATCCCTTCTCCCTCCGTGTTGGTAGGGGATAGAAGTGATGACATGCCTTTGGTGTGAGGGAACTGGAGTGCACAAATGCCTTCTCTACAAATTCGTACACCACTTTCATATCCCTAGGGCCTGCTTCCGCAAGCTTCCGCCCATTGTAGGAATGTGGCCCTCCTTCGACTCCATCAGCACTTTCGATCAAGGTGAATCCGTCATGATCGAACATTGTCACGACTTTTGCTTTTAACATTTCTTTTCGCCTGAACTCGCTGTCGACCTTCCTATCTGGAGTAGGCGATGCTCTCTGCTTCTTCTTCTTAGGCTCCTCGGTTGGATGTCCAGATGGTACATCGTCGGGTGCAACCTCTCCCTTCACTCTCTTTTTCCAATCACTCAACACTGAGGTGACTGTAGGTGAAGATGAAGGAGTCTTCTCGCAATTGAGAGTTGTGTGTCCCGACTCCATGCAGTGGATGCAGAATTCTGCTTGCCCGATCTTCTTCTCAAATTCGTCGATGGCTTGCAGTATTGATGTCTTCGGGTCGGACATGTCAACATCTTGCTCCTCCTTCTCCTGTCCACATTCAGTCTCCATATCGACACCTTCGGCCTCGGGCTGGTCAGTGGCTTCTGTCCCCTGTTCTGGTTCTTTCCCAATTTCGAAGAAGTGGTCGATGTCAAATTCAGGAGGCGGCATGGTCCTCATGCGAACGAGAATCAGTGCCACGTTTGCCGCCTCATCAGAGTGCGGGTCCAAGGTTCTGATCGTCGATCGCTTTCGGTTCTCATACGTTGTCCTGTCGTACAGCGATGCAGTGACGCGTTTGATGGATTCTTCTAATCCCGTCCTCAAAGCTTCGATGTCACCCCATCCCCTGAACATGTGCCTGAAGAGTTGAGCAATTTCGAACATGCCCAGCAGCGCTTCCACCATGTCACCTACCCGTTCCTCCGTGGGATCATCTCCGAATATAGTGCGGAATACATCGGGCTCCAGTATGGTCTTGAGGTATTTGGTGTAGCATACGTTGCCAAGGTCATAAGATCCCTGGTAGTACTTGGCGCTGCCGACTATCTGCTTTTCCACATGGATGCTGGGTCCTCTCCTCGTTTTGAAGAAGTTCTCCGTCATTGTTGATGACAACCTGATCCCCCCGAAGAACGAAATCTCCTTCTGGAAACCTGGATTCTCATTAAAGATGATCATCGCCTCGTGTAAGAACTTCATCAAGTCATCGTGCGGGTTCATTTCGGAGATCACGACGGTGGGAGAAGATACCGTTTGCCCCATGCCGAAGTTGTGAAGCAATCGCGCACATGCATGGAATCGCTTCTGGACGTAGTCTTCTGCGGACATCCCACGGCATCTATTTGCTGCTCCGTTGATGCATTCTGCATAGCAATCGTCTTTCAAATCGGAGTCTATGGGATGGCAGACCAGACAGTAATCGCAGCAAATTTCCTCACCCTCCTTGAAGTCATCAATGACGTACCACCTTTGAGTCCTTGAGTATATTGGTTCTGGCTGAAGGACTCCCCAGTACTCATCCATCCATGGCATCTTGTTCTCTCTCCTTACCTTCTCCCTCTTCCTCCTCTCAGACTCATTCTCACCTGAAGGTTCCGCAGTGGACTGATATGCATGGCTTCCTCTTACGGAATCTCCGAACAAGTACTGATACAACCTCTCTTTGTCCTGCAACACGTGTTCCAAGTTGGGATCATGGAGGCTATTCGCTTCGGTCAAGGGATCCGGTGCCATAAAGCAAGAAGCGAGCATCTTTTCTCTGAACAAGTACTTTTCCATGACAGCGTGGACCAAAGAGGTT